TTGCTTTGCTGAAGCCAGGAACTTCTGGGAGTTATGATTGGAAAGGGAAATTACATCTGGAAAAAGAATTAATATAAGAAAATTAGATCTGTGTAAAGGATAAAATTGAATTATTTATTCTTTATTGTGCAGTTAATTTTGCGATTTTTTTATTTTAGAGGTTTTTGGTCCCTAATGAAAATCAATAATTATTCTTGAAAAATTAACTCAGATTGAAGAGCTGCTTTGTTCAAGTGGATGCATGATGATCTAACTTGATGATTTACCTCGATTTGGATTGATACCTTTGTTCAGGTCCAGGTTAATTTCTCTTTGTGTGTTACTGTGCATGAATGCATTCTCTGGTGTCCTCGATTGAGATATTGCTCACTCACTATCACTATAGCCACACCCGCATCCACACCTGCATCCACACTCACCCTCACTCACATCCACACTCACTCTCACACACATCCACACCCTCACCCTCACACACATCCACACTCACGGTCACGTCGTCCACACCACTCACACTGTCACTTCCACATCCACACTCATGGTCACTTCCACATTCAAACTCACATCCACCCTCACCCTCACTCTCACAAACATCCACACCCTCACTCACATCCACACTCACTCTCACACATATCCACACCCTCACCCTCACTCACATCCACACTCACGGTCACGTCGTCCACACCACTCACACTGTCACTTCCACATCCACACTCATGGTCACTTCCACGTTCAAACTCACATCCACCCTCACGCTCACCCACACTCACATCCACACTCACATTCACACACACATAAACACTCAAACTCACTCTAATACTCGCAGTCAACTCTCATTGTCATATCTTTATTCACATCCAAACTAGGCTTCACACTCACATTCTCACACACATAAACACTCAAACTCACTCTAATACTCGCAGTCAACTCTCATTGTCATACCTTTATTCACATCCAAACTAGGCCTCACACTCACATTCACATACACATAAACACTCAAACTCACTTGAATACTCGCAGTCAACTCTCATTGTCATACCTTTATTCACATCCAAACTAGGCCTCACACTCACATTCACACACACATAAACACTCACTCACACACTCACTCACTGTCACTTTCTAAGAAGACATGCTTAATCAGTGCTTTTTTTCTGAAATGAAGCTTGAAAGGTTTCAGATATGAAGAAAACAATGATCACACTTGCATTTGTGCCATACTGGTTTTATGAAACCATGTTAGAATTCATGTATTACCACTGTTCTTACTGGGGAAAATATAAAAATTCTGGTCCTCATCTCATAAAATCAGAATGACACACATTCTCCTATAATAATCTTTATAAAATACTGATGTAATAATTTCTTAAGAAGTTGCTTGCCAAGAAAATTATCCAGTTCCTCTTATTTCTCATAAAACAACTCTACATTGCCCATAAAACCTTTCCATTCCTGATTCAGCTCTTCCTCCATCAACATGTCAATATAACATGAAATTTATTAACTTTCCATACTGCTGCACAGAAATATGTACAACCTTGGCCCCTATGCCAATCCTAAGGGTTAATGAATTTCACTCCACAGTAAACAGGCCAGGGGGAATATGTGAAAGCTTGGTGTTATGTACTCTGTCATACCAGGAGCTTGACTAATGTGGACTAACTCTGGCCAGACTACAATGAAATTAGTACCATCAGATTGAAGGGATATCATTTTCTCCATGATGAATTACAAAATTATGGGCCAAAGTCGGTGGAGGTGTAAAACGGTTTGTGGTGTTTTTCTATTTTCAGATGTAATATCAGCAAGCTACTTAATCATTCAAGGCAGATTTTCCAACACAAATGCCTGGCTCTGAATTCCGTTTTAAGCACGATTTGTGTGATTCAACTCGTGCCTGTCCAGTTTCAGACTTCTCTTCAGACTCACTGCTGAGAATAATGGCATTTCTCTTTTAACAGATGAGAGAGATGAAGGCACTGATGCAATTTTGGGGCTGAAATGCAGATTTGCTTTTACTTAGGCAGGAATTATTTTCTGTTTTAAAGTTTTGACTCTATAATTAGATGGGGAAAAACTTATCTTTGTAACTTTTTTACTTTTAAAAATTAGAGTCTCAATTTTAGCATTTTTTAACTCTTTTCAGACATATTTTAAATTTCAAATGAGGAGTATTCTTATATAGTTAGCATATGCTATGGATTCAGTATTCAGCTATTGATTTATTTCTTTTGTGGATATGGTTTGTTATTATATAGGTCCATGTTCTTGTTCCACAAAGCCGTTTTAGTACAAAGATGATCATTCAACTCATTCTTTAACACAGGCTTACGGAAATCTTAGGGCTAAGATCGATATGTGGAATGAGACCCTGGTGAGTAATTTCTGCAGATTGATAGGTTTGGTTACTGGATGAAACTGTATACATGGGTCTTGACATTGGAATTATATGTTGCATCCCCTGAATGTGCCAGGATCTGCTTGTCATTAGCTCAAATCAAGATTGTACGAACAATGGTACTGTAGACAAGCTTATTGGTTTTACAAAAGTGATAAACACCTAAGATCTGATGTTCCTCTCACTCTAAGCTGAGTCACTGTTCCAAACAGTGTTAACCCCAACTTACGGATAAATAATGTATCAGCCAGTGTGATATTAAGTTTCTGTAGTTCAGTTTAAAAAATGCCAAATAATCTTTCACCCTTGCAAATATCAATAAAGACACATTACTGTCTTATTAAAGCTGTGCAAATGTAAAATGAATGTCTGAAATGTGAGAAGACAAGGATATATATTGTCACATCTGTTCTTCCTTAAGTCGACTGTATGATCTTTCTGGCAAATGTTTTCGTAAAATTCATAATGCCATCCTTGGGATATTCCTGCATAAACAGAGGATTCAATTAGGAGATAAACATTTCATATTTTCCTATTTTCAGCTTTTACTGATTAATCGATACATGGAAATTTCATTGGGAACTGATGGAGTCAGCACTCACAAATCTAGAAAGATGTAATGTTTATTAACATTGTAAAATACAAAGTTATTGATCATTTTCTGAAGCATACAAGAGTCTTTGCATTAACACTTACAGTCGTGAGACCTACATAATGTTACTTGGGAGGGACCCATGAAGATCAGGGCTAGACTTGGTCTTCAGTAACCCATGCTTGTCTTAACCCATTCTTAGCTGGAATATTGTTGAGTGAGGTGTGAAACTAAATTCACTCATGGTTGTGAGACCTACATGATGTTACTTAGGAGGGATATTATTCTGCATTTTAAAACATTACGTCATGGGATGATTGATGACATTATAGGCATTTATCATAACTGAACTCACCTGGTTGTCAGAATATTGGGGTTTTAAATATAATACAAAAATTTCTGAGAGACTTTGATTGGACCTATAATTTGATTTAATTGGAATTGATTTTGCCAAGTTAAGTGGAACAATTTTCATATGCATTGATTTCAGATCCCATTTAACAACTTTTGTCAAGCAATCACATTGCAGCATATGTTTTAAAATGTGGAAATTTTGATGCAGCTCGGAAACTGAAATGTGATGAATGTTTCTCTGTTAAATTGATGAGGCAATGTGTGAAATTCTCTGACAGAAATGCTCTGACAGAAGCAGGAGTCATTTACCTATATAAGTACAATGTCTGAAGCCAACTTCAGAGTCCTCAACCATGATGTATGTTGTTATTTCCTGGCTGTAACATAGGGTGATGTTGTATGGTGTTATTTCCTAGCTGTAACATAGGGTGATGTGGTATGGTGTTATTTCCTGGCTGTAACATAGGGTGATGTTGTATGTTGTTATTTCCTGGCTGTAACATAGGGTGATGTGGTATGGTGTTATTTCCTAGCTGTAACATAGGGTGATGTTGTATGATGTTATTTCCTGGCTGTAACATAGGGTGATGTTGTATGTTGTTATTTCCTGGCTGTAACATAGGGTGATGTTGTATGGTGTTATTTCCTAGCTGTAACATAGGGTGATGTTGTATGGTGTTATTTCCTAGCTGTAACACACAGTCCTCTATGTTGATATTTCCTTGCAACAACCAAGGATGTCCATTATTATCCATCAGTAACACCACATGATGATATTATTTTGTGGAAGTAACACCTGTAGTGTTATTTATGTTGTTCTTTCCTTGCTGTAACAACCAATGGTTATTTTATGGCTGTAACACAGGGTGTGATAACACCTAATGATGTATGTTATTTTCTGGCTGTAGTAACACCCAGTGATGTTCTTATTTCCTTGCTATAACGCCTAATGATGTTGTTATTTTATGGCTGTAACACAGGATGATGTTGTATGTTATATCCTGGCTGTATACGTAGTGAAGTTATTTCCTTGCTATAACACCTAGTGATGTAGTTTTTTCCCATCTGTAACACCAAGTCATGAAAGTAACATCCAGTGAAGTTATTTCCTGGCTATAACACCTAGTGATGTAGTTTTTTCCCATCTGTAACACATCTGTAACACCAAGTCATGAAAGTAACATCCAGTGAAGTTATTTCCTGGCTATAACACCTAGTGATGTTGTTATTTCCCATCTGTAACACCAAGTCATGAAAGTAACATCCAGTGTTGTTATTTCATGGCTGTAACACACAGTGATATTGGTATTTCCCATCTGTAACACCAAGTCATGAAAGTAACACCCAGTGTTGTTATTTCCTGGCTATAACACCTAGTGATGTTGTTATTTCCCATCTGTAACACCAAGTCATGAAAGTAACATCCAGTGAAGTTACTTCCTGGCTATAACACCTAGTGATGTTGTTATTTCCCATCTGTAACACCAAGTCATGAAAGTAACATTCAGTGTTGTTATTTCCTGGCTGTAACACACAGTGATGTTGTTATTTCTCATCTGTAACACCAAGTCATGAAAGTAACTTGTTATTTCGTGGCTGTAACACACAGTGATGTTGTTATTTCATGTGTGAAACAAGTCCTGGTGTTGTTTGTTTCAGTTGACTGCAGCCAGCACCAAGGGCTGGAGAGACCTGCAGTCACTATGGGGTGAGCCCAAGACGACCCTCGCCACTGCAGACACCAGCCCAGGGGAGAAGACATCACTCCTGGGAGCAAAGGGGTATGGCAGCAATGCGTATGTATCATAGCTGTAGCTGGATTGAGGAACAAATTCTAGTTGTATATTTTAGAAAGGGATACACATTAAGCTACTCCCCTGTTTCATTATTGTTAAAAAAATGGTCATTCCTTCTGGGACTCACCTCTTGTGTAAATATCAAGTTGGGCCTATATTTTTCATTTCTTCGTTTACAGATAGGGTTTTTGAAAACAGATTTTTCTCAAAACAGCAAATATAATTAACGTTTGAAAATCAATCTTGATATCTTGTTAGTATAGTGGGTAGGGTAAAATTATTCAAATACACCACCTATTAAAGCAAACTAAGTCATAACCAGTAAGCAGTTGTGAGAATTGGTAGCACATCTCCCCTTTTATGCCATGTATTTTACTGGAATCAAATATTGGTCTGGAGTCACAACACTGTTTTGTTTTCTTTCTTTTAGTGAAATAAACATATGAACTGATAAGAGAACAACAGTAACATGTAATGATTCATGGTTTTATTTTTATTCCACATTTGATACATTTTACTGGAGCCTTAAACCAAGTAATATAGAAACAAATGCCTAATGTCAATGTTTATCATCCATTATTCGTTGGTCTACATGTCCATCAACCCTCTAATGTGTTAGTGCCAAATTGAAAGAAAGGCTAAGAGGAACCATGAGAGAAACATGTAATGGAATCTCACTGTGACATTTGTTTTAGTTTATATGTTGTTCTGTTAATATCTAAACAACACAGGTGAAACATTTTCATTTTCATGAATGCAAAATGGCCACCATAGCAGCATTGTTTGAATGATTCAAAATGGCTACCAGAACAGCACTTGAATTTATGATATGTCAGAGCATTTATAGCTTCAAGATAATTACTCCGTATTTAACAGTCATTATAAAATGGCAACAATCATATATATTGTGACAATGTTTTTAACAGTAAGACCTGGCTAATGTGGTTGTCCAGAGTTGATGGATTACTGTTCCCGCTGATACCACTGCTTTGATTTGCAGGCTACAGTTATGTAGCTAATATCTTGCTGACTGATGCATTAATCAGAATTCACTCACCCACTCTATAGGGCTGCGCAATATAACCGGTTTACCGGTATATACCGTTCAGACATGAAAACGATAAGTATTGCGATACGCTGATTGAAAACCGGTATTTTGACATGCATTCGAAAAGACTTCGTAACTCTCGGAAATCTTCGGATATTTCCGTATTATAAATTGTTCCTTTCCCTTTTTTATTTGTGCCAAATATTATTTACATTTTTATTTTGTCACGATTAAAAGTTTATATTAAAGCTTAATCAAGCATGGTGGGTTTGTTGTGTTTTTTGCTTTATAAATCAAGCATTAACTCGATTATAAGTAGTTTTTTGTTAAAAAAGAACTACATGCAATACATATCGCAATATATGCTTTCACATCGCAATATATTGCAATATGAAAATTCTCTGCAATACCCAGCCCTACCACTAAGGGCTAAGATAGTCATAAGTGACGTGCATTAACATTAACTTACGACTATCTTAGCGCTACGAGAGCTTCGAAAATCTAGGCCCAGGTTTAAAGCAACCAATGCCTGTCTTACAAGGTGAGCGGAATGGGTGGTCAGATGGCATGATGTGACCAGCCGCTTGTCACCATACCCTCATGATGAGAGGGGTGTTTATATTGTCAGTCACTGGATGGTCGAGTGCAGGCTCAGTTATTTACAGGCTGCTATTATATAGCTGGAATATTGTGCAGCCTCAAACAACGAAGTCAAAAACACTCAGTGACTCATCATTTCATTTTCTATTATCACTGTTGCAGTGACCCAAGCAAGAATCGACTCCTATCTGATGATGATGATTCCTGGGGAGATAGCTGGGGATCCGAATGGGACGATAAGAAGAAAAAGAAACCAGGGCAAGCCGATTGGTCAGCAGGAGATGATGATGAACTTGAGGCGTGGCTAAACAACGATGAGACCCCATTGTCCTCCACCTCCTCTTCAAAACAGAAGTCTAAAAACGACAACTGGGACGACTGGGGCAACGACACTGGGGGGAATTCCACAGCTAAAAAGACAAAGGAAAATAAAAAAGCTTCCAAAAACAAAGAAGAGGGCTGGAAAGACGTGGACTGGGACAGTGGGTTCACATCCCCAGCCAAGCAGAAGGAGCCCTTGGTGGGCAACCTCCTGGACCTCGGGGACGCTTCTGCTGGCAATGACAATGGGGGATGGGATAATGACGTTTGGGCTAATGATGATGATGATGATGCATGGCAGAGTTTAGATCTAGACACCCACAAGGGCAAGAAGGCCAGCTAGACTTGCCAAGATTGTTGATATGCGATTCATGTACATGAAAGATAATGTTCCTTGGCTCCTGCTGTGAGTCCCATTAACAAGGATTTAACTTAATCAGCTGTTGTCCAATCAGGAGATGGCATTGTGTTCCTATTTGGCAGTGGATACGCACTTTCATCCGGGCCAAGAACATTGCGCGTGATGTTGTTTGATGTTAACCCAAATCTTCCAGGATGTTTTCTGTATGCTGTACAGTATTTTGAAGACATTGTGTTGCTGTACTGTGATCAGTGTTAGCATGTCAGGCATTCAGTAGCTAATGGGACTTGTTACCAAGCATCTCACAAGCGTCATAGCTAGTCTGGTGTTGCCATGAATGCACTATAGTAAGTCTCAGTTGCCATGGTTACACTTCAGTAAGGTCTTTGGTTTCCGGGTAACTGTTTATTTAATTTCAGCAGCTAAAAACTGTTGTGATTGTTAGCTAAACAATACGTTAATGTAATCATGTTCTCAGAATACAAGGTCAAGGTTGCTTCAAGTACTAGTCAGATGAATGGTTTAATGCAAAAGTTGCTTGCCAAATGAAGAGGCTTTCAAGAACACTCGTCATGTTTAATGAAAATGGGCTGCAATTCTCTTTCCATTTATTAGGATGAGATACATTTTCTGATATTGATCATGCTCTGTGATCAGTCTTCAGCACAAAACACATACTTCACAAATTCATGATTTTGTAATGTTTTTGTTAAAATATATTTGGAATTTTAAAATTTGATTTAAAATAATTTTAATACTGACATACACATATCTATACAGACTAAACAAATGTTTAGGTGGTATGCTGGTTGTTGGGGTAGTCTAGTGATTAAAACATTCATTTGTCACATCCAAGACTCACTCCCCATGAGGGTACAACATATAGCATCCATTTCCGTTATTCTCTGCCTTGATATTGATGGAATACTGCTTAAAGTGACATAAAACAATACCCACTCCATGCTTGGGAAGCTGTTTCTTGTTGAATGTAAAAACTGAAGAACATGGTGTCTTTATATCTAATCGTAAAGCAAACACAGCTGACTTTCAGTGCTTACACCACTGCAAGGAGATCATCACTAATTTACAGACTATCATCTGCTACATGTTCATTGTTCAAAATTACACATGAAAGTTAAGTGTTCTGGCCATAACCCTAATGTTATGAAGGAGTGCCAAGATTCTTGAATTACAGGAACAAATCGCAGGGTCTTGTGAACACTGTTTTTCACTATTAACTTGAATGTGTTTACTGCTGACCAGTACAATATAAGAGGTAAACATCAACTAATATATGGTACCACTCTACATTACACAGGGATAATCAGATGTGTGATTCTATTTACATATACACTTGCATATTGGGAGTCAGTTTTGTGTGTCATGGAAACATCTCTGTCAAAAGTGGTGTAGTATATCTGGCTCGAGACCTTGCAAGTGATATAAAGTGATTCTAAATGATATCTTGTCATTATGATTGATATTGAACGATGTTGAAGATATCATATAATACTTTGATGTATCAAGAATTCTCTTAAAACTAAACCCTTGTAGCTTCCATATGAGAGATAATGTAATCCTCTTACCATGGTGTTGTCAAGTGCTACCTCACAATGAGGTATTTAGGTATAGTAAGGATGTCTATTGGTCTCTGTTAAAGGGGAACTAACTTTGGACAAATTGGCAGTCCAAACAAGATGGAATCAAGTCATTCAATACACACATTGTCTGTTGATACAATGGTAATGCATCGTAGAACATAGTTATCATTAATATGTACCATTAGCTGTTTTACTTTGTGAAACATGCAGAAAACAATGTTATTTCAAGTGCGATAATATTTTCTTTCCTCTTGAAGCATGGTTGTGAAAGACGGCGTTTATCACACTCACCTCCATCATGAGCTTTAACCTACTTAACATCATGACCAACAGACACCCTTACCTAGTGATCTACAAAGTCAGCATCATTCGTACTTCAAGGGCTTGTATTCACCACATTCTTCCATCACCATGACTATATAGGTCAGCTATGTTGTGTTGTCACTGTTTTTTACTAGCAAATCATGCCAAGGCCTGCCTCTTTCGAGAAGGAAGCGTGCTAGTTCTCTGACCAATCCTCAACCCCCAATGACAGTGGCTGTTTGACATGTACAGTATGTGCTGTGTAGGCTTGTGGCTGCCTGCTTCTAACACTGCTGTAATGGAAGGTAGAGGTTTCATTTAGGGGTGAAATGGTATGCTCTTAACACAGTACGGTACGTATTTCGGTACAAGGCCTTCGGTTCGGTCTGTTTCAGTTCGGTATATGAGATATGATCATAATGCAGAAAATTGATAAGAGACAAATCTTACATGGTTTAATAACATGGAATAAAAATAACCATAATCTTTGTTATTTTTAATGAACAAAACTGTCATTTTATGACTAGATAAAAGAATGGTACAAAACCCGAAAATAATGAATTTTTGGATTGCATTACGGTAAACCAAACCAAAAGGCAAAATACTGCAGTATACCGTTTCATTTGGGTCAATTTGATCTTCCATATCTTACGAAGAACCACACTTGAAAAAACACGCGTCACTATTTCATTGACTAGGCATTCACTGGTGATCAAAGAAGTTTGTATACAAACCTGTGAAGTATATTGATGATGTACAGCCAAATCTAAAGTTTTGAAAAGCTCTTCATAGTTGGTCAATCCAGCCTTGTTTGTTTCTGTTAGCAAATGTTCCCATTGTGATGGTGTGATGTCTGGAAATGTGTGTTTGGTTCTTGCTTTGCCAAAAGTAGTTGCAGGTTTCACTTTGTCATATGGTATAGAGATCTGATAGCTTTAATATAGCTTGGAGAGATATGGTGTATATGGGGACCAAAAATTACTATATTTTCATCATTTTTGTTCATAATGAGTCAAGACAAAAGTTGTGTTTATCGTTTTTTATTTTGAGTTTAAATTCCAAACTGTAATATTTATGACAGACACAAAATTAATAGAAATAGTTTTAGTTTCTGTATTCACCACACATCAACTTGAGTTGTTTGTTTTTTTATTCCAATCTGAAAGAAAAACAACATTTTTACCCCGATCCCCCAACAAGTATATCCATAGTACAGCTCTCTTCTTGACCATTGTCAACTTTAATCCCTTTGTTCAAGCTTATTGCATATGGCTTGTGTAATGTTGTATTAAAGCAAGAAATGTGAAGTGTATGGACATATTTTTACTGTTGATATTCATAAAGTTCCTATAAATTTAATATTTTTGAAAATTTATTATAAAGGAATTATAAAAATCCCTGTTTCTATGGAACTGTTGAAAATTGTTTTCAAAATGAAAGGTTGTGACAGCTAAGCTTCAACTTCTTCAATCTTGATGTTTTACCTTGATGCTCCACCTTGTCAATATCTATCTGCTGTAGACAAGATTCACTGTTGTTTGTCAGTAGTTGACATTGATATTAGTTACATCACCATCATTTAACACCAGGTTCAAGTTGATGATTTTAACACACGTTTAGCAAGGAGGAAGCAATTAAACAACAACTATGTTTGTAATTAGGTTACTGTTTTATTTGTAAGATCAATACTATGGTACTTTGAGGTTCTGTGAAACTTTGTTGACTCGAAACCCCAGTGTCTTAGTATTGTGGCAGAAAGAAGCAACAGCTCTGTGTTTGTGCAAAGACATAAAAACAACTTACATGATTAATTTTGAGTTTGTGCAAATAATCAAAACAACTGAAAAGCTGACCAGTATAACAACATTGTGCATAATTATTTACTGTAGCTTTTAGAGTTTGCGGACCCGTGAAGGTCCGGGTTAGAATATTGAACTTCAGTAACCAATGCTTGTTGTAAGAGGCAACTAACGGGATCGGGTGGTCAGGCTCGATGACTTGGTCAGTTCCCAATTGCGCAGATTGATGCTCATGCTGTTGATCACTAGATTGTCTTGTCCAGAGTAGATTATTTACAGACCATCGCCATATAGCTATAATATTACTGAGTATTGCTGAGTCTCACTCACTCACTAAATTCACTCACTCACTTTAAAGTTTGAATGTGGCATTTCAGTACTTTATATATGCAGTGTATATGAATGTCTGGTCACAATGTAACAGACAAATTACACTCCTGCAGTGGATAATACACATATGTCCTGTGTATTTGCAGCGATGCTGAACTCATTTTGAAGTAATTTTGTGGAGGTTATGCTTCTGTTGGCTGAGAATTACACCAGATTTGAGCCAAGGGAGCAATAATATATTGAATACTGAAAGAAAATTCCTAGTAGATGATGTGAACAAGTACTCAATTAATAATAATTTAGTAATAATATAGATAATTTGTCTGGAGTCCTGATGATGTAACACAATTGTTCCTGGAGAATGTTATTATGTAGTTACACCAGCACTCAACGTGTTTTAAACAGCAGATGATTCAGATTATTAGGGCTTCGAGTTAACAAGGTTTCCCAGTATTTTAATTCCACACACTATGAATTGTTCCTGTTTAGGTTTGACTGCAGGAAATAGGCAGTTGTGTGGATTGAAACATTTGAATTTCAGTAAAGTTGTCATTGATGCTGAATCTATAATGTTTTTTATTAACATGAATCGCATAAACCTTTTTATCAATACATTGTCAACTGTTACCTCACATTCTAGTCATTTAGTTGCAGAGTTGCTTCTCAAGGGCAGTGTAATAGTGTCATGAAAGTGCTCAAAATGATTCACTTATGGATTAACATTAAACTACAAGGCTAAAGATTGTGATAAGACATACTAACTTCATTGAGGTTGACTCCATAGCCACTCCATAGCAGGCAGCGGTAGGGAAGCCTTGTGGTTACAGGATTCACTCATCACACCGAAGACCCGGGTTCGATTCCCCACATGGGTACAATGTGTGAAGCCCTTTTCTGATGTCCCCTGCTGTGACATTGCTGGAATATTGCTAACAGTGTCAATCCTGACTCACTGTATACAGTGGAGACACACCTGGCCCAGTCATAGGTCCCTTATGCATGCTAGGTGTTTTATCCTGCATTTGTATCCTGGTTCACCCTGATCAAGTTTGTTTGGAAGCATTAACCTACACTCATTGGCTCCCCAAGTGATTTCTTTTAAAATCTTGTTTAACTTTGAACTTACCTAACACTGCTAGCTGATGTAACAGAAATGCTGTGCAGTGTTACACCAAACCCACTTATTCCATACACAGATGTTGACCTCCACTGAGTGGCACCACAATGCAATTATGTCCAGATCTGTGCATGTATTCCGATGGGTTGAAGAGTTCAGACTGTTTCATTCATGTTGGTCATCTTGAGTTGTCTCCCTTTGACCATGTGCTTCTTTCAGTAGTCCTCATCAGTTGTCACTGACTCATAAAAGTATTGTATTTTATTTAAGGGACCACAAGAATTTCAAACTAATTACAGACTTTCTATTAACTTAGACAATCTATGACAAAAATATCTGTTGTTTT